TTCAGGGTTTTAAGGCTTTAGGGTTTTGGCTTGAGGGTTTAAAGCTTAGGGCTTAGGGCTTTAAGGCTTTAGGATTTCGTCGCTTACAACTTTGTGCTGACGCCTCTTTTTCACAAAAGGAATGAGGGAAAAGCAGCGAAGGACAAGACTACCATCCCGAAACAAACGCAAAACCTGAAAAAGTTCTGGGCGACCAGACCCCTACTACACCCCAAGGCTCATAATTATCTACAATGCTGGGATGCAGACTTGATCCCATAAAACCCTGAGACTCGAGACGGGGTGTAGTGTAGGGGCATGCCATCTTGACAACTAGGAAGTAGTTCAGAGCCATCCATTGTACCAGGCGGGGGTTAGGAATGAAGGCTTTGTGAGCTGGCTGGGTCCCACCCGTAACTGTAGAGTTTGAGGGTTACAGGCCGCAACCCTCAAGCCCTAAATCCCTGCACTCGCTAAACCAAGTCCTGGGAGTCGCAGCGCTGAAGCTCTAAAGCCTATAGTCCCCCTTAAGTAGATACAATATGGCTTAGGGTATATTACAATAAGATCCCCAGATACCCCATGTTCTATCTGCTTAAGGGGGACTATAAACCCCAAGCCCAAAATCCCGAATCCCATGCTCTGAGCCCATGGGCGCATGCCATTTGACCTGATCCCTAAACCCTGAACACTTAGATCCGGCCCTGATTTGGTCGCAGGGGGCCCGGCCTCTACATAGGGGATGTTCGTCATCACCTGGGCAGAGAAGCTGGGTTGCTGTTCAGGAACCAAAAACCCTTAACCCGAAAGTTACCACAATATGGTACATAGTAACTAACCGGGTTTCCTTACTCTAGTGACTTGATTTCGGTCTTTAACAGCAACCCACCCAGCATAGTATGCCCTTACGTCAAGGCAGTGGTTTTGGGGACGGGAAAAGTGGGACCTTACCCGAGGAAACATAGACTCTACACGAATACAATACAAAAAACGTCAATCAACGAAGGACGCGGGAACTGATATCTTCTCGCAGCACAGCTGGTTAATACAGTCGGTATCCAACCCCCCAACGCCTCGAACGGCTCAAGGTTCCAAGGTTAATCATAAGATGACTCCAAAGGCTCATGAGAACTCGGTTGAAGACCTGAACCCTAAACCCTAGACCCCCCAACCCTAAACCTAAACACACAACCAAAAAACATTGCCAAGGAGAGGTGGGTACTTATCAGTTGGTTTTAGAGTTTAGGGTCTAAGGAGGCATTAGGGTTGAGGGTCTAGGGCATCGCACGCACGTAAAATCCTTACACGGGCATTATGTGAGGCACATAAAGTATACACGAGCACTACGAGAGGCTTATACAAGTCAATAT